AGTCGTTGACATATTTCTAATTTCCTAGGAATTAATTCAAAAGTATTACTTAAAAATGTGACGTTAATAATAGTGTCAATGCGCAAAATTAGGAAAAGATCTATATTTCTTATTAAAAAAAATTGGTGTCCCTAAAGAAATATTTAATCACCGAAGTGAATAATTAAAAAAGTAGAAGCCTTATCCGTGGAAAATGTATATTTTCTGTTTATCACTTCTTGCATATTTCTTTTTTTTTCTTAATTTAGGGATGTTTTTATTCTACACCAGTCACTGTTATGTAGTACGGTTCTAAGTTCTGTTGTATGTGCTCTCTGTTGTTTCACTTCAAAAAATAGGAAACGGCATATACTTGGTGAAGTAGTAAATATTTATTTAGGTTTCCTATCTAACATTTTGCAGAGTGTAAGAGAAGTTTATGCTTTAAAGTTCGTAAAAAATGACGAAAAAAGCAGGAGAACAAAAATTTACAATGTAATTTTTTCTTTAATGCATTTTAATTAACCATGTGTAGTTAAATGTAGCAATGTTTGTAATAAAGGAAGCAGTGATAATTTAAGCAGGAATATGAGAAACCAAGAGAAAAAGCAAATACAGTTCAAAATTTAATGTTGTTGCAATGATACGGACTTAAAAGGAAATAATGAAAAAATTAACATGCTTGTGGTTGTGGCTTATTTATATTGGGGATAAAGTAAAATTATTATTGAAGCAATTCTTTAAATGTAATAAAGGGAGGTACAAATTGTTCAAATAAATGTCTTAAGTTCTTAATGCCTTTTTACCACATAGCAGCTGAATTATTTCTTGTCTTGAAGTTATTATGTCCATGTTTTTTTTGGATAATTTCTTATATCTAAATAACTATTTTTAGTTACTATATGTCTTAAATGTATTATTTGAGCTCTAATACTACAAAGATATAATATAGGATCATATAGAAGGTAAAGACAGCAAGAATGAATCCAAATCCTGTCAAGAATTTCAAATTCAGAATGGATCCAATACATATTGCAAGAATACTTAAACCTACACTTGTTATGAGTGGATTGAATACTCTATATTTACTGCGTAAGTACCTGAAATATCCTGAGAACCCTTTACCTTTATAAATTCTTATACGGCCTGACACAATCCTCAGGAATCTTTCCACTTCTGATTCGAATTTCGAATGAAGTTTATGAAGTATTCCGTGTATCCATGATTTTTTTTTTTTCCTGCTTTCAGAATCATAGATTAAAGACTGAATAAATTTAGTGCGATCTGGATTTTGTGATATTTGAATGGGGATATTGTATTCTTGTTCATCAACTGATTGTTGGCTATTCAATTCATTACGGTTTACTGCATTATTAACTGGTTTTGTTGTGCGACTGTTTTCCCGCTTTAATTCATATAAAGAATCTTGGGAACTATCATAACTGTCGAATTGGTCAGTTCTTTCCTCATATTTACTACTACTGCTGTATGAACCAAAATCCTTTTGGAATCCCTTTTCTTGTCTGGATCGAAGAAGCATTGCTTCGGAGGCGTACCTGTGTATAAAATGATTAAGATTTTCCGTGAATTCGTCATCATTGACTAGTGCATTTAGTGTTTCTCCGGAAGTATCATCATTTTGTTGTAAGAAATCTTCGATTTTGTTCTTGAATTCGGCATATTTCTGTTCCTTCAAGACATCTGATTCTGCAAGCGCTGTTCTATGGGATACATTGTATGAACTATCTGAGCTGTTCTCCTTATAGCATATTGACTGAAAATAATGGAAAATATTCAGCATTTGAGTAGGGGCACATATTTAATCATTAACACATATGTGTTTTTAAATGACGTAAAAATATAAGGAGCCAGAAGAGTGTAGATCGTTTTTAGTTCTACAATTAGAATAGTACCTTATGGATATATGTGGAGATACCCAACAAAAGGGAAAGAGAGAAAGTTTTTCCATAAATGAACATATTGATCTGTTTTTTTCTGAAGTGAAAAATGAATTCTTAAAAGTCTTGTTCTATATGTTGTAATAATTATGGGTTATACTACAACATTTAATGATACTCTGTTTAGAGTTGCATTTCTTATTTTTTTCTTTATCTGTAATTATTGTAGCGGTAGGACAAAATGTACTATTATGAATAAAAAATGAAGAGACGGATTAATGTAAAAAGGTAAAAGAAAAAAGAAACATACAACATTATTGTCGAATACTTTTGCATATTGAAATAATGCAGGATTTTTTCTAATTATTGGAAACGAGAAAATATTTCAGGTCTTGAAACAATTCTTTATTTTTAGAAAAAATACCAAAAGAGAAAAAGAAAATATCTAGTAGAAGAGACAGTAAAATATAAAAATATGAACAAGAAGCGCGTGCCCTTGGATAAATACTTCAGTGAGCGTGCATTAACAGCAGAATATATAACGAGAGCTAACAGAAAAGAGTATTACATATTTTTTATTTATTCCCCTTCAGAAAAAAATGTTGCCTACAGAGCATTCTTACGATAGAGAAGAAAGAGTCATACATCGATTGGGCAACATTTGTCACATAGTAATTGATAAGATTCATGAAAACATATTTGAACGAAAAAATTTTACTTGGAAATTTATGAGCAGCGCGGATTATACGCCGTTAATAGAATTCATATAACTAGGATAAAATATTTCAAGAAGATTAAGATACGAAATACAATTTTTCCAGTGAGTTGTATTCTTGCCCCCAATTGTATTACATATTAAAATATATTATATTTTACTTTCCTTTAACAGAGGCCTTCGTTTGTTCCTGTACATCCATATGCATTTTTATGTATAACATAAATTAATTCTGATGGTACCAATTCTGGTATGGGAAAGAGAATAATCTGTTTGGGAGCTTTCTGAATAGAAGAAGAAAAAGAAAAATAGCATAGTGGTAAAAATAAATAATAAGACTCATAAGAAGAAATAAGTAAAATTCCTGATCTACGTCGTATTCATTTTTATATGAATGAGTTCTACTTATATGTTTATTTTAGGTATACTATAACATACATAAAAATAAAATTTCATCGTTTCACTTCAGCGTCATGTAGAATATGCATGATATATGTATATATATATATATTTATTCATTTAAAATCAACAAAGGAAAATGCATGGAATAATATAATACAATAAGGCGCCCTTACGAAAAGGGTCTCTTTATTCGAAGAGTAGGTCATTGGCATGAAGTTCGGGATATGAGGATTTTTTCCTTTATCGACTTCAACAGCAGTTGTATGACATTCTTATCTTTCGAGTAATATAAGTTTTTTCTTTTTGTTTCTTAACGGTCGGTTCACGTTTATTAGATAGATAAGGCATGCTATATAGGAATCGCTGAAATAGGTGCCTGTAGAACAAACTTCTTTTGAATGAATATTAGTTCGTATAAAATTAGTATAAACTGAATCGACATTTGTGAGAATAAGTTGAAGCAATATGTATCATTAATAGCTGTACACACTGGAACCCTAGTTGTGCCTGATTCCTGCAAGAGAGTATGTACAATATGAAAAGCTTCCATGCAGCTGTGTAACATAGGTTGTTTTATAAGGTGGCTTTCTAATTTCATTTGGCGTTGTTCCTAACATTATGGTATCTTTTCGTTTTCTGTCTCTCAATTGTGGGAGTATTTTTATTTACTGTAAAAATACAGGCTTATCTGGTTAGTGACGAAGTCTTTGTTACCGTTTTGAGGAAGGCATAGTCATATATGTTTCTTTCGAGAAGTAAAAATATTCAGCAGCAACATAATGCAGTTTCTGTGAGAGTGGGTATCAACAAGTGTGTAATTATTTGAAATGGACGATGTCACTTTCAATGAATCCTTTTTTTTGAATCATTAGAGATGCTTTTTACGTTCGTAAGGGCCTGCAGTTGTCGATTTTTTTAAAAAGAGATGTATCTTTTTTCATTCAATCGATGATACATGTACATTCACCCCCATTCTTGACTTACATTCGTGCTATTTCTTTTTTTGCTTTTGGGACAGGATATGAAACAATGTACTGCAATTTGCTGCTGCGAACGGACAACATACGGACACATACATCAGACGTAGGCATTAAACCCTGAAGATAGGCACTAAAGGATAAGCCTAAACGTGGATTATAAATACTGAATCATAGATCCTGAACCATGAACCGTCGACGCTGAACGAGGTATACGGGATAAAACCTGCTTAGCAGGAAGGCGTCATCATTTATTTATGTATCTGAACTCTGTGTGGGAAAAAAACTAAAAAGGCGAAGTCCCATATATTCATTTTAGGCTTAATGCGATAAGAAACTGTGCTTCCGAATGTACAATGGTCATGGGTTACTTTGTCACGAAGATATACATAAGGAGTTGTTCCACTACAGGCTGGCAGTTCACGTTGTGCATAGATCTATTCATCATTAGATGGCCTTTTAAAACAGTGTTTATCAGAATAATCCTGCTCAAAAGTAGATATAAAACAACATGTTTTAAATGGTGTTTATATTAAGAATAGCTAATTGCTGTTATAATATAAATTAGTCAAATACTAAGAATATCGAACAAGGCAGGGAAAGGAAGTTATTCTGAACTAGAGAAAATATAATAGTAGCGATATATTTTATATAATCTTTGTTTTTTCATCACAAGGTTTTTTAAGAAGCTTCATATATGTGATATGTTATTATTTATTAGGCCTTGTTATATCTGTTTTAGAAATATATTAGAAGAAAGTTTTGACAGTGATATTTTCGCACCAAAGTAAAAAATCTTCTGATATACCATTTCAAAACTTATAAGGCGAACTCATCAATTAAGAGTGAAAAAAGAAGAAATGTAGTATAAAAAATTGTTTGTATATATATTTAGAAGTGCAATAATTTTTTTCTTTTACTGGGATGAACATATCCAAAAGCAAAAAATCATTTTCTGCTCATTATCTTGGAAGGAATAGTAATTAATTTCGGATCCGGTAGAAGCCCCTTATATGCCCCCCAAATAGTTGCCTGTTGATTTTTAAAAATTCTTCTGTTTAGAAGAATTTTATCTTCTAAATAAATTTTTTTTTTATATGGTGGAGCACATTATTTGGTATATTACTGCATAGGCATTTCTTTTATATTATATTTCGTATAAGAATATCTACAATATCTGTACAATTCCTGTTTTCTGTTAAATTGTGGTGTATTCGAATTTATTGTGATTT